AAAGATACCCTCGCTTGGCACCCAAATCTTTCCTTTAGCACATGGCAAAAGTATAAGTTTGGGGGGAGAGACGAGGATTGCAACAAAGTGGTAAAAAGGCACAAAAGTGAAGAAAAGGAAGGGCAATGAGAAAGAAAGAAAAGCAAAAAGACAAAAAGAAAGTTCAATGTGAAAAAGAATGATTAAAGGATTCAAGAAAAGCAATAAAAAAGAAAGAAAGGTGTGGAAAGTTGAAAAAGGAAAAAAAGTTTGAAATGCACAAGAAAGAGTGACAGTGTGTCTCTCTAACCCCTTAGAAAGAAGTGAAATGACTCAAAGAGTCAAGTGAATTGTGCCAAATGCATCAAAAGAAGTGCTTAAGGGAAGATGGAACCCACTTGAACAAAAACATGACCTACCCTGAACCAAAAGCCTTCACAATGACTCCACAAAAGCCCTATATGATCTTGAGTTGAATGAAGCTTACATTAGTGGATACTTACATAAGGGGCAAGCATATGGTACCTAGAGCCGGACTTGTGACCTTTTCTTGAGAGAGATGAGTGAATTCCCATTAGCCTCGTTTGTGTGCCATTATTCTAAAGGTGAAGTTTGCTTAGGGAGAGTTGAGGATGTGTGAGTTTGGGTTCCACAATGACCAAAGTAATTGAGAGAGTTCTTTGATGTAATGAGTCAACTCTTGATGCTCTTGTGTCGCACTTGATCCATAGTTTTTCAAAGGGTAAAGGTTGTTCATGATTCATTTGTATTGAGGACAATTGTTAGTCCCAATTGATGCTAGTTGAGGTTACTTTAGGATAGTTGAAAATTCTTGGATTTTCCCTTAAGGGGTGGGCCTTATTTTGTTTGCTTGAGGACAAGCAAAAGCTTATGTTTGGGGGAGTTGATAACTAGGTAATTTGATGTGTTTCATGCTCCTTCTTGATTACGCTTTGATTACAAATTCTTACAAAATAGTCCCAAAAGGCTCATAAGTTGTGCTTGATTGCAGGTTTGATCAACAAAGTGACGGGATGTCAAATATCGGCTCAAAAGGAGTGAAACCTGCACAAGTATCAAAGACAAAGACAACTCACGACAAACTAGCCTAGTGCGGCTGCAGTCCATTCTATGCGGTCCGCACTAGGGAGATTCAGAGACTGGTTTTCAAGGCATCAAAGCAATGGGGCCGCAGTAGATATTGTGCGGCCCGCACTGAAGACACCGCGGCCGCACCACCATTCTGTGCGGTCCGCGGAAGAGAAGATCAGAGAGATATAATTTGCCAAGGTTCAAGCCAGCGCGGTCCGCGGTCATGTTTGTACAGACCGCATTAGAAACCTCCGCGGCCGTGGTCCATTCTGCGCGGTCCGCGGAGCCTGAGTTCAAAGAGCCAAGATTTCAAGTCCAAGAGCCTAGTGCGGCCACAGTCCATTTTGTGCGGCCCGCACTGACCCCGCAAGGGCATTTTTGTCCAGTTTTTCCAGCTTAGTATAAAGAGAATATTTTTTCATTTTTAGGGTAAGCAGCTATTATCAGATAGTTTAGCACTGTAGTTGCGCTCGTGAGAAGACCTTTCTTAGCTATTTTTGGCATCTTTACGTAGTTTTAATCATTGAAACTTTGTATTTACTTTAGTAATTAATTAATATGTCTTTCTCTTCATCTATTTCTCTGATTTTATCTTCAAACATGAGTAGCTAAACCCATTATCTAGGGTTGTGGCTCAACCCTAGTGTGGGGAATTGATGGGTGTTGTGATTTAAGGTTAGATTGATTATGGGTGTTTGTTATTTGGGTCAATTTTATGGTTTAATTTATGAATTAGTGATTGCAAACACTAGTTTGTGCTTAGTTGACTTGGCTCTTCTTGAGAAAGAGAGCCTAAGTCTCCAAAATTGACTCAACAAGGAATTGGGATGGACTCAAGAGATTTGATAGTCCCAATTAAAGGGTTAAACCTCGAGAGAGTAATTACCCGACTTGAACCCTAGTTACTCTGGCATATATGCATACCCAATTGTTCTCGAGAGCGTCAATTAGGCAAAACCACTCTTTCTACCGAGAGGTGTAGAGTGGGTAGTATTGAGTAATGGTTATAACATATTTCCCCAATCATGTCAATCGAGTCTTAGGTGCAATTACCCGTCAATTAGCCACCTAGGTGAAGGTCACTACCCTAGTGCCCTTTAAATTATTAGATACAACTTGTAGCAATTTATCTCTTAGCTTAATCTAGTTGCATTTTCAATTAGTAGTTTGATGAAAATAGAATTATAAAGAAAATCCAAAAATGAATAGAAGACCAATTAAGAGCATACACGCAATCCTAAGCTAAATAGATACTCAATTCCAATCCTAGCTCTCTATGGATTCGATCCCGACCCAAAATCGGGTAAAAGCTATTGCGACCCTCTCTCGCTACTTTTTAATGGTGCGGAGTAGGAAGCGATCAGATATAAATGCCTTGAGCAGGAAAACCAAACGCCGCCATTTTGAAAACGGAAAGGGCACGGGAAACGATGCAATGCATAGAAAACGTGCGCTATAATGACGCATGAGAAGTATTAATGACGTTCTAAACTGACGTAACGGTCTGGCGCAGACGTCACGTCGCTACCTCGCCTCTCGCATAAAGTGCTCAGATTTCTTACAATTTTCTAATCGACAGAGTCTGCCCATCGAGCTCACCAAAAGGCGACCCCAATAGGTGGAGGGACTAACTGTATGGGTCAAAATCTGACCATATAAGAATCCGCGCAGAAAGGAAAGATAAAAAGTTACTTGGGCCAAAGTCGTATCCATACAACGTTATAACGACCACCTCGGCTACGGCCGGTCATGTATTCAGAACGGTCAAACAGGGAATTGGATGCTACGGCATTTCAAAGGGTCGACCAGTAATACAGCCAAACGACTTAAGTACTATGGTTAATGACCGTTGGGTAAAGGAGAACACTTAGTATATAAACTAAGTGAGAAGAAGAAGAAGAAGAAGGGGGGGGGGGGGGGGGGGGCAAAGAGGGATCTTCATCTCTCCCTCTCCCCACGAAGGAGAATGAAGCAAGGAAGCTCAGATCTTCAATATTTGTTATTAGTCTCATCATATCAAACGTGGAGGGTCCAACCTTGTTAAAATTCGATGACCCGTTTTTCATTTATGTATTCTTCACTATTATTCAATGTAATAGCAATCACCATTCTTTCCCCGTATAATGGGATTCAACCATGTTTATAGTTAAATCTTATACTCTGCTATGTTTGCTCATTCTTATCATCCATCTTAGATATAGGGTAAATTATGTTTGGCTAAGATTTGCCTAAAATCTTATTACTTAATTAGTTTGACAAAGGGTCTAAATCTTTTAGATCGAACACTTGGACGCTAGCCCTTATTGTCTAGTCTACTCGGACCTCTACTAGGGCTAGAGCTAGCCGGAAAAAGAAAAGACTTAACTAATATTATGTCCTAACAATAAGCTGTGTGGTGTAATTAACCAGAAAAGTGCAGGAAAATGCATAACATCTACCTAACTATAGGCATATAAATTCTTTTTTTCTTTTTGGTATTACCAATCAGTAAGCTTGACTAATCGTAATTCGAGCTGCGTCTCAGTGAGGGAAAGAGATCCTATGCCTTCATAAATTTAAATAAATTGATAAACCATTGGGGAATAATATTAGCTTCAGCTTAGGTCACATGAACATGTGCTAATCTCTATATAACTATATTCTTTGGGATATGCTAGCCAAACATTTCAGCGAACAAATTTACTTGCTAAGATAGTTTTTTCTGCATAGGATTTGGGTAGGATCCTAAAATCTTTTCTCTCTCATTTCTATTACCAACCAACTTTAGAGCTCCTTTGGACATAAGAAGTTTTTCCCTTTTTTCCAAAAAGTTTTCACTTTTTTCTGAAATCAGCATTTGTTTATAACATTTCCAATTTTCACTTGAAGATGCATTTTGGAAATTTTCGAAAATTTAAAAAATTCCAAAAAGCTGTTTTTCAAATTTTTCACTCAAATTACTCACAAAACTTCAAAAATAACCCAAAATTATACATATCCAAACACAATTCTAAATTTCAAATACCATTTTCACTTAATTTTTTTTTTACTTTTTTTGGAATTTTACAATTCTTATGTCCAAACGCCCACTTAGTACCTCAGTATTATTGATGACTTTTCTGTGTAAAGGGCCAAACTAGTCACTCTCACCCATTAATCTATGGCTGCTGCCAGTCCACTTGGGTTACCTTTTTCTTTTCTTCCCTTACATTACTCAAAATCTAAGGGCACCCAATGGCCAATACATGAGCATGGCTTTGCTCCATCCTTAGACATAATAGGACAATATATAGGTTCCCTCCGGGAGCCTTGGAGCAATGGTAAAGATAGATCACGGGGTCAAACAGTAAAATTAACAACTGATGCTTGCATCATGGTAGACTGCTTTGGATCTCGCGTGAAGGTGGAATGCTTCATGCACCATGCTACCATATAGTTTCCCCTTAAATTTGTTTCGAAAAATAATACACACTTAAACTTTGCAGACCTTTTATTTCCAATTTGTTCTCGGAGTAGAACTAATATCCCCTCAAGTAATGTATTATTCATGTGAACATGCCTTTCAAGAATCAAGGGGAGGTTTTCCACCTATAGATTGCAAAAAATGGAGTAAGGTTGAGGACTAGCTGTAGATGAGAATTCCAGACTGCTTCGTTGGTGTGTTCATAATTCATTCTAGTGGAGTATTTTTTATTAACAGTGTTAATATAGTAAGTAACAAAGTGCTTTAGAAGTAGTAGCAAGATTGTAAATATATTAAAATGGCAAAATATCTCGGGACCCCCTAAACTTGACACATTTTATTCAGTGCAAACCTGAACTATTTCTGGTCCTGATTACTCCCCGAACTTTGTAGTTTAATAACCTTGACCCCTGAACTTGCATAAGGGAAATTAAAGTTGATATAATGAAGAAGACTAACTACTGAATTTGTAAAGTTTCACTTGAACTAAGAAAAGAAGTACTTCTGTTCATCTATGAGAAGAAACTAAAACAGTAGTACCTGTTTTCTTTGTACCTCTCTGGTTCTTAGCATGTTACCATAGTTGAATATAGTTATATTACAAGTTCACAAAATGGGAAACTAAAACCCAAAGAAGACTAACAAGCTAGTATAAAAGGCAGCCCGGTACACGAGGCATTCCGTGCTCACACATGGTCTGGCGAAGGGCGACACCCGAGGGATATGATGTAGACAATCTACCCTAATGCAGTCATTAGGCTGCTTCCACGGTTCGAACCCGTGACCTTTAGGTCACACGGAGACAACTTTACCGTTGCTCCAAGGCTCCCCTTCACTAATAAGCTAGTCTAATACAGGTATAGTATCTAAAGCAGGCTTCCATCCTATACTACAATCATTGTCATCATCAGTGAACTCATCACTCTTGATCATCTCAATATTGGAGTTGCGTTCTTTCTGAAGTGGATATTGAACCATTCCATCAACTGCTCCTTCAATCAAAAGAGCTTGCAACTCTTTCTTACTGATGACAAGCTTAATCCTCAAAACCTGATCCGAACCTTTTTTGCTACTTTCCTTAACTTCATCTGCAAAGGTAACCTTCTTTTTGACAGGTACTTTTGTTGGTGACTCTGATACTGGAGTTAACACTTCATTGTCTTTCTTCATCAGAGGTTTATATTCAAGGACTTTCCCATTTGTTTTCATTACTTTGACAACCTTTTGTTGCAAAACTATGCAATTTCCCATTGCTTTGCTATATGCTGTGTTTGTTAAGGAATGAGGAACTAATAGAGTACAAGTATAGGTTTGGTTTTTGAGTAAGCTTGTTTAGAGCAAACTAGTGTTCCTTTTATAAGGAAATGAGATGCAAGAATGCCCCTGGGATTTCTGATAATTATGGGAAAACCTTACCACTTTGGACCCCACATTGTTGATTTTGTTGTTTGTGCAATTGAGGTGATCATGATTCCTCTAAGACTCTTTTCACACCTTTTCCTCACCTAAACGGTCTCTTAAATTAAAAATAGCCGGCGAACGATAATATATATATATATATATAATTGTGTATAATAAAATGTATAACTTATATATACCGGTTAGGAAAAGTAAACATTGAATCTGGCCGACTATTTATGTAACAATCCCTTTCTTATATATGCAATTTAATAGCTAGGTGAAAGAAGCAGGCCTGCTTATTTTCTTGTTTTTTACCAAGTACTAAATATAAAACGTGTTAAGTACTGTAATTACTTGTTGTCAATGGTAAAATGATTATCAGAGAACTAACTTATAAAGTATAACGGATTAACAACCTTTACTCATCTAATTTATTATTAGTATATATCATTCTTTTCTCTTTTTCCTTTTGTCCTTATACAAATAACTTACTATTCCCTCCGATCCATTATAAGTGACTTTTTTGGCCTCTTTATTAATAAATGTCCTTTTATATAATCAAGAAGGAATTAACTTTATTTTTTCAAAATTTGCTCTTATTACATATTTGTAACAATATGCAAATTTTAATTAAAGGTAATTTACTCAAATTACCTTTTTTTCTCTAGGAGTTAATATTTTCTTAAGGGTTAGACAAAACATTCCTTCTAATCTCTCAAAGCTTTGACGACCCCGAAACTAGAATTAGCTGCAGACTTCTTGATCACAGCCAGGGTCAGCTCTAGGCTAGCAAGTAGCAAACTTGAAACCAAAGGTAGGCTACTATATATGCAAGAAAGCCTAGTTTAAGGAGGATGGAAGGTAGAGCGTGGAGTATTTTCTTATTATGTACTTTTTTTTTGGCTAGTCTTTTCTTTTTCCGGCTAGCTCTAGCTTAGTAGAGGTCCGAGTAGACTAGATTGGTATGCAAAAATCCAAAAAATCATTTATTATGGTCGAAAGGAAGTAGTATAAGTTTTCCTATTGAGATAATGGCTATTGTTACAGCGTCAAAATCCTTACCAGACACCATTTTTACAGTGATGAAAGATAATGAGTAATAGGACCATTAGAGCAAAAATAAGTTGGTACACTCCTTTTATAGTGCGGCATTGACATGTTACTTGTTTCTTTTTGGCAGTACTATATATATCTTGCTAACTGTTATTTTCTCCTATACGAGGTCGGTTTGGGCATCCAAAAGAATCATTGCTTTTCTAAATTCTATGATGATCTTGTACTTCATCTTATAGGAAGCGTCTACTCAAAACTTTGGCTTAGCATTATATATGTATTTAAATTTTTACTAAATAAGTAAAAATAATAGATTTAGAATCCATTAAATGAAATAGGTCACGATAAATTTTGCCTCGATGTCTACTTCTCTGCATCAAATTTTGCTCAATTTTTTTTTTTTTTTTTTTTTGGTAACTACACTTCAAGTAACCAAGAAGTGTTTGAATGAAGTTTGAGATGTATTCGCATAATTGATATCAACTAGCTTTAGATTGAAGCTTAATTGATCAAGTAATTGACACTTAATCACGTAACTTAATAACAATAGACAAATATGTTAATACAACATATATAAGATTGATTAGTACGTACTCTTCTTAGCTATATTTGCATCTTGGCATACTTTTTCCATACCTTTGCTGGGTATTATCTTTTTGGCTGCATGCCTGCATCTTGGTATATATATATATATACGAACGAATTGTAGTTAATTATTTGAGAATTTTAATTTGATATAAAACTTAGGGGCATTTGCATCTATACCCGCTTTTTGTGTCACATTTTAACTTGTACCCGCTTTGCAAAAAAAATTGCAAGCATACCCGCTTTTTCGCATAACTTCAGCGCACGGGGTTGAAGTAGCAAAGGCAATCACGCAAAACTTCAGCATTCTAGTAGCCGTGCCTGAAGTTCAGCTCTAGAGCTGAAGTTTTTGTGTTGTAACTGGAAACTTCAGCTCTTTTTGTGTTGTAACTGGAAAACTTCAGCTCTTTTAGATTTAACTTACCACAATAAAATCACAAAATTATATTTTCACACATTTAATTGATTATGTTTGGATATATGGCAGTTTATAGGGACAGAGAAAGAAGTGTTGCTAGGTACAATGAATTTCGCGGAGGAACTCCAATACCAAGATATATAGGAAATATATCGAAGCGGATAGTACATACTATTTGATCTTAAAAACTTGCCGCAAACTTGAAAAATGAAAGGGGAAGGTCCAAATTTGGAACGCCACTCGTTAACATCAAGCATAACAAGAGAATCATATACAGAATGATTATAAACATGAAAAGTTGAAAAACTATAAACATCTTAAAAGGAGATTATCCAAGATTTCCTTTCTTTTAGGTTCTTCATGTAACCCCGAACTAACCAAATCTTAGGTGAAACATATGGCGATGATGTAGAAGAATTGGATCTGATGGTTGGAATGGCTGCCGAGAAAATGAAGGAGGAGAAGGGGATGAGAAAGGGAGCTGAAGTTGTTTAAAAAGTGGGTACAAGTTAAAAGTTTTAAAAAAAATGGGTATAGGTTAAATGGGGGCGACCAAATAGGACGCCCCCGTGAAATTTTTACTTTTCCTTTTTGGTTAGACCTCAACGATCATATATATATATATATATATATAGCAAATTCGTACTGCTCCACCCTCTATTTTATACTATGAGACAAGTTTTCAGGATCTAAGATCCTTGTGATATTTCGCATTTCATATGAAAAGTGTCACTTATTTTATGTTTGAGAGGACCTATATGCTTTACCATTTAGGGGACAACAATAAGATGCATTATAGTTATTAAAGGAGAAGTTACGACGAAAAAAATGGCCTTTTTAAAAGTTTGGAGGGACAAGTATGGCCCATCTTGCCCCCCTTAGTGATACTTTAATCTAACTTAACCACTAAAGCTGAGATTTCTTTTAACTTTAGGAGCTTCAAGATGAACGCATATTCATTAAATATTGTTCAACATTAAATGCTTTTACAACGAGACCATTCTCATTAACTAATTTGAGGGGAAAATTCTGGTTCTTTTTATGGCTTCTTCACTATCTTATTCCTTTCATTACTGTTGTGATTATGCTTGTCTTGAGTCAAAGGTTTATCGGAAACAACTTTTCTATCTTTACAAGGTATTGTGAGCGATACTGTGTTAAAACACAAAATCAGGAAAAACAAAACTGTTAGAAGAATTAAAGAAATCTGGAAAAATAGTAGAGTTTAAGAAATATTCCGAGTCCATAATTTGCTTGTGTGTCCTTAAAGGAATTATTAACCCCCTCACACTGCATATTGGTAAAGTGGATCCTTAAAATCTTCCCGGAGGATAAAAACGTGAATAAACTTCCTGCAACAGTGGCAATCACAAACTGCAGATAACCAAGAACTTAAAGAACGAGAAATATACACTACCGCATTTGAGAGAGGAGAGACTGTGAATGTAGATAGCAGTATATTTCAGAAAGAAAGAAAGTTCTGGAGTGTTTTTGTATACTAGAAATGTGACTTGCTCAGAATTTTATAGGCAATTTATAGACAGATAGGTGTTTGAAAAGGTGCCTTTTCAGAAGATACGCTGCGTTGCCGCGGTTCTAACCGCGCGTCAGAGAGGGGCTCTACCTGACCCTGCGTAATGCCGGTTCTATCCGCGATCAGCGGCCGAACCGCGGCAGAGAAGGCTCACATTCAGCAGGAATTCTGGCGTATTTTCAGCAAGTGATTTGGCCTTATTGATTAATTTAATTAAAATTAAGTTATAAATTTTATCAAAAATATCTTATCGATCGATCATTTTCCATATCACAATCCAAATCCAATATCCAAACGCCTGAAGCCGCCGGTTCGAGCGACGACCGACGGCGCGAGGGTTCATTCTCTGTTCAACTCTTTTATAAGAAGCTTTAAAGAAGTGCTTCTATATATAAGAATACAATGTGGTTGTCCCTTCACCATGGAGGAAAAGTGAGAGAGCAAAAGTTCCTTTCTTCAAATATTTTCAATTTCCGTTCCATTTTAATTTCCCTCATATGTTCCAATTCACATTTTCTACTTTAAAGACCCATGAGTTATAAGTCCAACAAAGCCATCTGAATGGGAATGGCATCGTGATCAAAAAGTATCATAGATGAAGCTATGTGATTTTGAAGTAAGGGATTAATGATGATCTGGGATAGAGTAGGTTTTCCTTTGAGACTATTTCGATAGTCGAACAGATACGGATATATCCGGTAATCGGTATTTTTTGATATTTTGAAACCTTCTGATGGACTTTAAGTGTATACTCTAGACACCATTATGTACAAATCCCCTTAGTCTTTAGTTCTCATTTTTATGCTATTTTGTGTTTCAGGCCATTGAAACCTGCTGGTCTCAATAAGTGGGTAGAGAATTGGCTTACGAATTTCTCATTAAAGCGGCTTCCACTTCAAACAATTACTGGTCATAGGTGATTCTAAAGCGTGTAACCTTTAGATTGACTACATTATGATACTTACCAACATTAACTAGGTAATCATCTAAAGAACGTCGCTAGAAGTTCTATCCTTGTTACTTGACATCTGCTTCTATCACAGGAAGGTGAGCAAAGGATCTTACTTTGACGCAGAAGGTTGAACCAGTCAATCAAACTTCTGTTATGACTCTTGAACAGTAGATTCTGGAACTATGCCAGAATTCTAGGTAGAGTTATCGCAACATTGACGTTTCGCTCGCATAGTCCATCCTTTCTTAGATGATTTCTCAACTCCTCTCTAGTTAAGCCTTTTTTAAGCGGATCGCCAAGTTATCCTTTGATCTACAAACAATCAATAGTGATAATCCACTAGAAAGTAGTTTCTAACGTGTATGTCTTCGTTCG